ATATATAAGACTAGCAGTAGCACAAAGACGTTTGTATAAATTAATTGAAAAGGCTTTATCATATTTTTTATGATATTTAGATGATTGAGACCATGACATTTTATTTTATGCATAACAAATAGGCTAAGCACCTAGTAGGTGGTTTTGAAATGATCTCCAGAAATTGTTTTTAAAAGAATACTAATAACAAATGTTTTGACATGATTGTTACAAGAGATCTAAACAGTGGGCTAGCCATGCATTGTTAATTAATGTTAATGTTAATTAATTGTTAAATAGCAAATAACATTGTTTAATTTAAAACCTTGCAGGCTAAAGTTTTCAACAAAGTTCTTATGCTGCTTGTTAGCTGTCAGAGTTTGTGTTTATTGGAATAACTCAGTTATTACCACACCACTTGTTAGGTTGATGTTTGTAAAAATGACAGTTTTAGCATTTATTTGTCACTTATAAGGTCATTTAGCTGTAGTAGAGTAATCGTGAATCGAGTTGATTTCAAAAGTTAATTGTTGATATACGTCTAATGATTGTTTTGAGAGTTTCATTAAAATCGATCCTGGTTCATGAGCTATTATGCTAACAAACACACAAATGAACACACATGCACAGACACTGGCAATGAATTGCCTGTCTTTCATGGTTGAAGACAACAATGAAATGAGTAAACGTTTGTAATAATCCAGCTTGAATGGATCGGTGTCATGCTGTTTGATGTACAGAACAGAGTAATATAGAAATATTAAACACAACCTGTTGTTGTATGTTTCAGTGGTCCACACCCTCGGAGATCTTGAAGAGCTACCAGGAGCAGAAGCTGTGGATTGCTTCTCCTCAGTTCTACGAACTGAGCCGAATGTCTCGTTTCCCTTCGCTGAATGACCTCCATAACTTCACCTACCATCGGGCCACAGAGGGCTGCCAGCAGTGGACGCCTGTTGTTGTCCAAAAAGATGAACACCATATTTCACTGCTGCCAGGTGCTGATTGTTAAATGCATTTTTTGTAATGACTCTCCAGACTTGGATCGTCATTGCCACTTAGTAAAGTGCCTGAGTTCATTTGCATCAATTAGATGCTCCTTTATGAACCGACTTTTGATTAGACTTCACATCAAAGTGCTTTTTAAGAAATTTCTGTCTATAGGTTGTTTTAAAAGTTAGAAAAAGCCACGGTGATGACTTTGGTTTTGTAGAGTCACAGTTTTAGAGCAGGGCTAGTCAATAAAACTGTTCAGGGGGGCCGCAGTTTCTGAAACCCAACAGCTAGGGGGCCGGACATCCAGCAATTAAAATCATTATGTAAATGAACCAAAGTTTACAATGATTGTTACCTTTTAAATTTGTTTATTTGATTGCATTGAATCATAAATGCAATAAACAGAATCCAAACCCAAAACCAAAAAAAAACAGTTGAATAGTCCTGGTTTAGAGGCTGAGATGTGTGTAAAGTCAGATTAACATATTGATAAATCCCATTCACCGAATGTGGATAACGATTTGAAAGGGGAATATGATTAAGTAAGGGTTTAATAATATATTGTAAAAAAAACGTACTGAAATGAATATATTTTGAAATAAAAGAGAATAGGGGTAGAATAGATAAGTATGTGCTTCATTCTACTCCTTTTCAAACTTTCTGTTTGATTATAACGTTGCATATTTTGTTTGAGTTGTTACATGTTTGAAATAAATTCATATATATACATATATATATATATATATATATATTTATTTATAAGGTTTGTTTTTGACATAGTCTTACATCATCTAATTTTGATAAATGTGAGTTGTAGGAAATTAAGAGCTGCTAGAATGTGACTTAAAGACAAGGTAGTTTAAGCTACTACATCTTTTATGTGCAGTGTATAAAAAGAATACTGAAGCATGCCGAGTAACTATTTCATTTTAATCCAATTAGTTCATCTGTACAAAAGGAAAAAATAAATAGACACTGCTATTTTTTTATTGCACAATAAATGCTTGTCTTAAATCTTCAAAACCATTTTCTAATTATTGAGGAAAATCTTAGTAGCGAAGCTGCATAAAACAAAGAGATAACTCATTCAATTTGATTTAATCTTTGCTATTTTCTTCACTTTGGGTTCTCCATCTTTCCAGGGGACGAACTTTATCCAGTGGACTCTTCAGGGCTGTCTCAGAGGGAGGATTGTCAGGATGGTTCTGGACTGCACCGCATGGTGTTCTCTGGTTCCTACAGCATAACTCTACAGATCACCATCAAACCCAAGTACAACCACCTGCTCCCTGTTGTGGAGCCAGTTGTGTCACATCACTCCAAAGGTCATCTTTGACCACCTCCTGTGCACCAGTAGAAAAATAAAAAAGTGATTGTAATAGAGATAAACAAATTGATCATTTAAAATTTTGCTTCTTGAAACTGCTTTACTCTCAGCAAAAGTTATCAAGTATTAAAGTGAATCATATTTTCTGTGAAAACAAAAATGATTGCCATTACAAGTGTATGCAGTAGCTTTTTAAAACTTCAGTTTTTAAGTTTCATGCAGTAAAATTCAAAAGGAGAGCAGCTTGATTGGAAACACATTTCCACTGCCAACTCGTCTCATTAATACTTGATCAAGAAACGTTTGCATCCGATTTGAGCACAAATGGAGCCCGTTCAATATTGTAGGGAGGCTGAATAGAGTTGATTTTCTGCAGAACTGAGAAACAGTTTGGAAGTTTAAATTTAAGTTTAAATTAATTTATAAAAGATTTAAGGTTTTTGTTAGAAGTTCAGAGGGAAGAACAAAGGGCATCAAACTTCCTAGCATGGGATTTGTGTTCAGAACTCATCCGTTTGTCTTTAGGTGAGGCGCTGAAGTTTTGTTTGATTTTAAAAAGTAAGCTAGTTGCAACTAATTGCTGTGAAATACATAATTTATAGCATTAAAATCTCTGGTGCACCTTTACAGTTGTCTCTTCTCATGATGAAACGTAACTTTAAGATAAGTAGCAACAGTTGGAAGAAATTAAGCAGTCGGCTGTGGATCAGCGGTCAGAGCAATCGCCCTCCACTGAGCGAGTCAAATGTTCAATTCCATACGCAGTCACATGTTGAATTGCCCCTGTGCAAGACTCCGAACCCCTCATTACCTCTGATGTGTGCCCCATCAATGTAAACATTTGATATAAAGCACTGATTAGATGAGTGTCTGCTCCTTGTCCTTGAAGGCCACTGTCCTCCATGTTTTCACTGTTTCTCTGCTTTGACCCATCTGATTTGAACGAATAAGTGAGTAACAGGCTTCTGTAGAGCCCTATGCTTTCTGTTTGTAAATTAAACATGACTGTGCATGTTAATTTTTTCATTATAAAAGTAGTATTTTCACAGATGTTGTCTCGACCTGTTTTTCTAAATGGTTCAGCTTTTCTGCTTTTATTTTCTTTTTGTTTTAGAATTGTGCCACTCGGGGTGGCTGCATGTTGGAGCAGCTCTGTTACTTTCATTCTGAGATTTTGCTTTTGGAAACTTTTTAATTCCTCTTTTTCTGGATGTAAATCACCTTTTTTGGATGAGTGTTTCCTCCGATATCAGATGCTGTGCAGCTGGAAGGATTTCTACTGACACTTTTTTAGTGTTGGACATTTGTTATGATGCGTAATCATGACAAGAAGGTGTTTTTTTTAACAACTGGGAACAGCTAATTAACATCTCAAAAGCTAATATCTCAGCTACAGTCCCAAATCTAAACAAGTTGAAAAGGAGGCACCGTAGATGCATTCACGTCTTCTTGCCGACTGTGCTCAAGTGCCTGACTACTGAGATCCCAAAAGTGGCAGGAAACGCGGCTCGTGACGGCAGAAGAACTGGGATCCTCCCCTGGCACCTGCAGCCGGTTGTCCGCAGTGATGAGGAGCTTAGCAGGCTGCTGGGAAGAGTGGCCATCGATCTGGGTGGAGTTCAGCCCAATATTCGGGCAGTCCAGAGGAACCAAGAGGCCAGCCGAGTCTGGGTAGATGGATCAGACAGCATCTGCGGCCATTTTCTTTGGATCCGCTGTGGGACGGACCTTCCTGCCTACAGCCTTCAGCATCTATAACATCTCTTAATGAAACAAGTATAATGAACTACAACCACATTTAATTCCCCTTTGGGGTTAATAAAGTATTTTTAAATTTAATTGAATTTTTATATTTAATCACATCTAAATTTGGTTCTGTATAACCTCTGAAGTCTTAAATGACTGGATTTATATTCTTAACAACCTCTGCAACATTTCTAAACGGTCATTCTGCTGAGTAGATCAAAGCATTTTCTCCTGACAGCTCGCTTTCTATGTTTGACGCTGTACTATGATGTTTTGTCTCCTTGTTAGCGCTGCCCTCTTCTGTCCACACACCTCGTTTGGTTCCAGACTGCTGCGTCCGGCCGCATGTGTGTGTTGCATGGTGGTGACAGAAAGGACGAGTTGAAATAAAGCTGCTCAACCTTCTGTGCCGTTTGCAGTCTTCTGAAGGTTTCTATGGAAACCCACATCCTTGGAAACCCAGCATCGGAGTCCAGCTGAAGCCATGATGATACAGTGGTCTGTTTGAGCGTCTTTGTGAAGGTTTATTTGCGTTTACACGGCTCAGTTAAGGTAAAAACTGTCTCTGACATCTTAAAATTCTTACAGTCTTCCAAATAACACTTTATAAAGTAGTTTTGCTCACCTCTCAAAGGAGTTAACTCTAAAACTTTAAATCTGATGGAGTTTCATCAAGATTTGCTTGGAAACTGTTATTGTAGGAGGATTTCTTCTAATTTGTTTAATCCTCTATTCGCTCATTCACTGCTTTAGTATTTGTGAATGTCTGGATAAGAGTGCCAGTCTGTTATAAATTACAAGCGTGTAGGTCCATGACTCACAGTTAGCAGAACTTGTGAAGTTACAAGGATAAACAAGCTCCCTGTGGTTTACATCTGAACACAGCAGCCACTGATGTTTGTGCATCAAAGTTTCACTGTTTCTCTGCAGGATTCCAACCATTAAAGACTGAACAAGAAAGATAATTAAAAGAAAAGGCAGTTTGCACAGCTGGCATCTTGTTTGATCTATTAAATTACTCTTAAATATGCAATTCCAACATTTTACTATTTGAAGCAACTTAATTTAAAACAAGGTTTTGTTCTTTTCTCAGCTGTAAAAACTAGGGATGCACAATATTGGACTTTTGGCCGATATCCGATATGTTAAAACTTATTTGGCCGATAACCGATACCAATAACGATAATTTTTTCTCTACTTACAGAGACTAGCTTTGTCTGCTGTGGAATTACTACGTACTTTGGCCTGCTACCAAATGCAGATGCCAAAAAGGGGCCTGAAAATGATGCAACACTTCAACTTGGATTATGTTTAATGTCAAATTTATTCATGACATTTATTCTCTCTAACACAATAACACTCGAACAGTGCAAATTTGTAAATTTTCACAAATCTAAACTCAAACCTGTTCACAAGCGAGTTCACAAGTGAAAAGCACATAAGTAGTGCATTAATAGATATACTTGACAGTTTCTTAAATTAAAAATTAACTTAAAACAGAAGACTTTTATAACGGTGAATTATTTTGATGGAATAGCCGATGTCCGATATTTAACTTTATCGCTAATATCAGCCTATACATGCCGATAATATTGTGCATCCCTATTTAAAAAGATGTTTCTCCTTGTGAGCTTGTCTGTATTTGTATAAAAACAAGCAAATCTCAAATTCTCTTTTTTATACCTTTAACGACACCATTTTGTTTTAAATACTCCATATAAGAGGGTTATGGCAAGCTGTTATAACATATTCAAACCAGTATTTGCCGTTTAGATATTCAAAGTAAACTAGCATTTTATTCCTACTAAAAGGCATTTAAACAGAATACTGCATTTACAATTATGTCTGGCTACTCACTTTTAGTGATAAATGAGTTCATCATAGAATGTGCAGACTGGCTGTTGTTTTCATTATGCTGGCTGATGTGTGTGTTTGTCATAAATTATGAAACGTGTTGTAGCTGTCTCTATCAAGGTCTGTGTCCTAAGTTATAAGGACTTTTTAACAAGTAACATTAACATTTAGATCAAATCCGAAGGCTCAGTTCTAAAATTCACTCGTATCTTTAGTTAAATCCAATCATTTGATGCTCCTACATCCAACCTGCAGCTTAATGCTAACTGGAGTCTGTTTGCCAGTTAGTAAAGTGCCTCCCCAGGAGTCGATGAGTTCATTTGCATCAATTAGATGCTCCTTTATGAACAGACTTTTGATTAGACTTCACATCAAAGTGCTTTTCAACAAATTGCTGTCTAAAAATTATGCTAAAATGTTGGAACTGCACACTTGTGTTTGTTTATCCTGAGGCTCCTTACTCTGTGCAGCTTCTTCTACATTTAAGCATCTTTGGAAATACCAGATAAAGTCATTTTATGCCAGCTCAAAATTTGAGAAACAAGTGCATAAATAAAGCAGAATAATAGTTATTCAGTTACACGTAAGTTGCTGCAGTTCTTATTCTCAGACGAAACAGCAACCCCGTTCTGAGGGAATGTTACACTTTCTCAAAACTTGACAGATTATTTTGAAACTAATGACATTGTTTGTATTATGCTTGTTTTGCACTGTATTTTCATGGCCAGAAAAGCCTTCAAAAAATGCAAACACTTTGACCTTGAATAAAAAAGACGAGCGAGTATTATGTGTCCTCTGACCTTTTCAGTTTTAGGCCACGTCTGTTTGAAAATAAGCAAGAAAAATAGAATATCGGCGCAACTGCCTAAATTTACTAATCTGAACAAATAATATAAGTTCATCGGTATTTATTAGCACAGTATTGTGTCTTAAAGTGTCTGTTGCTGATCCAAGATTAGACTGATCTGTACTCATTCCTGTGTTGCTGACAGTCCAGGACAACCATCCCCCGAGTTTCATCTGTGTGCCAGTCCAGAAATATCTTTAAAGTCTCTTATAGTAAAACTATTAGGGAGCTGAAGAATCGGTGTCATTCTCCTTGAATGTAACACTAAGGTTGTTAATCCTGAGAATAATCTCCTGCTCAAAATACATATAAGTACATTAGATGGTTGCATGTCCACCTTTGTAATGTTTACAAACCACAGGTCAAAGGTCATCAGAGTCATCTAATTATGGTGGGTTTACCGAACGTTCAGTGCAGATATGAATTCTGCCCACGACATAAAGAGACGCTGAGCTGTCTTCAAGCTACACGCAGCTTCTCAGGTGTGTTTCACAGTTTTATTATAATAAATAGAGTTGATTGTACATTTATCTGTTACAAGATTATTTTACTCATTCGTGTTGCAACGTGTACATTCAAAACTGAGAGAAAACCCTGAAAAAGGCGTGAGCAGATGCGACGTTTCAAAGAGCGTCTCTTAGGTCAAAGATTGCCATGCAGCGCACAAGACTTGAGTTTGTAAAGTGAGATTCAGGCCGTGATCCTGAAGGGTGCGTTGAACGTGTGCTGCTGCAGATCTGACCATCCAACCAATGAGGTACGAATCAAGTGAGCCCTACACGAACCTAATTCTCAGACTGCATGATCGCCTGCCTGTTTGAACACCTGATGTCTCTGGGTTGAAGCCGTGGCCTCTAAAGCCTCAGTTCTGCTGAACGCCAACAGGAATAGCCGACCGGCTGTCGGCTACATTTATGCTTGAGCTTTTCCCACTAATCCACTTGGATTACGTGTTGTTTGGATCATCCTGATGCCCAGACGCTGTCACATAATTTTAGGACTTTTTTTTATTTTTATCCTGCTCCTCCAAAAATACACGACCTATCCCCCACTTCAAAACACCTACTCTGCCAATCACACTATGTTGCTCTAGAGGCTATAGATCAAGTGCAAATCCTCATCTCCAAGAAATACATTCAGGAACCCCGAGAGAGTTGACGTTTAACTTTGACAGCCAGTTTGAGACCTCTCTGGGTGTCACTGGTGGAGCTGGACTCTGTCCAGGCGGTGTCTCCATGAGGGAGGGCTGGACCCTGCTGCTCCACATGATTCACGACATGTTGATGACTAAATATCCCAGCACCAAGGCGACTGCCACGATGATCACAAACACCACCACCGCGCCGATCGACCCCGAGCTCCCCTCCCTGGAGCCCCCACCTCCGTCCTCATCATCCTTGGGCTCCTCCTCGCAGATGGAGATGACGCCCACGGAGGAGTTCCCCACGCTCATGCTGGACTTGAGCTCGGCGCCCGCCTCCTGCTTTGCCACGACGGCCCACGGCGCCACCTGCACCTTCATCTCCATCTCCTCCACCATCTGGCTCACCTGCGTGATCTCGGTCTGCAGCTCGCCCAGGTCCACCGTGTCGATGTTGCTGTCGGCCTCATACTTCATGTTCTGGACGCTCATGGCCCGGGCGGCCACTGCGTTGGTGCTGCCCGTCATGCCCGTCTGGATGAGATGCCTGGTGGGCACCTTGAGGGGGAAGTCCTGCCCGATCTCCAGGGACCTCTTCATGTCCACCTCCAGGAGCTCCATGCTGCTGGAGAACAGCACCCAGAGGCGCTCGTACTCGGCGCGGTCCTCCTTGCTGATGCTTTTGTCTTTGAGCAGGGAGGTCAGTTTAGTCCTGTTGGCCACCGCCAGCTCCTGGGCCTTTTTGCGGGTCTTCTTCAGCTCCTCTCGCAGGTTCTGGGAGTCCGACGTACTTCCGAGGGCGATGACCAGGTGCCTGTAGCAGGCTGTGACTTTGTTCAACGCGTCCAGCATTGTTTTGCACTCCTCTTTCCCCATGGTTGGTTCGGAGAGATGGCAGCAAGACGCAGAAGAATCTTGCGCTCAGTTTAGTTTCCACGGCAGCGCGCGCCGCCGCCTCTACAAATCCACATAAGTGAGAGAAAACGCATCACTGTCCATCAGGGCGGCTTACAAATTAAAGCTTCCGTCACCTAAAAGCCTTTAAGATTACCTTTAAGCTTCCCCACGGACACGAGCTCAGACCTCCCCGGAGCCTCCAGCCGGTCTCCTGCAGGACGGAGGCGCAAAAACGCGACAGGCTCCGCTCCTGTTCGCTACAGGTGGCCCCAACATCCGCGGCGCCTGCTCCTCTCCGTCCCTTTAAACAGAGCCCATAGTTGGTGTGGAAAGAGTTGGATGTTGACGCTGACCTCCACTCAGTGTCTGGAAGGGAACGAGCTGCCACAACGAGCCATGGCGGTGCGTTTGTTGCGCGGGTTTTGTCCGCGCGGGGAGCTGTCCACTTCAGCACCCAATCGATGATGATGTGTTTAAATACCAGCAAGCGCCTTCAGCGGTCACATGTGCGCGCACAGCACACACACACACACACACACACACACACACGGCGGCTCCACCTGCTGTTTGGTTTGATCCGCTCCGAGCGCGTCCTGCCATTGGCTGCTCCGCCTCTCAAGTGGGCGGAGCTTACATGTCTGGTTAAGTCACAGTGCACCCTTCTGATTCCAGCAGACCGCCGCAAGAGATAAAATTAGCTAATTATGGCTAACAAGACATCACTTGGTGTAGTTATGCTGAGCACATGGAAATAACCCCTCCCTGATGTGATTAACTTGGTGAAAACAGAGTTGTTTTTTTAATGGAGATGTGTTATATTTTAGTAGCAAACATTAGTGGTTTGATAATGCACCGTTTAGTTGACTCCTGCTGAGCTGAGAGGCTGAGTGCTGTTTGCCTGGTTTGCTCTTTTTGCATTATTGAAGCGGATGGGGCCTAATGATCCAGTAACTGCAATGGGAAGCTAATGGAGTGGAACATATATAAGGGAATGTCTTAGAAAGAAAAATATATATTTATATCTGCTACACACATTTTGTTCATATTTGAAGTTGTGTTTCCATTTGGCGGTTTGGAGGATCTGTCCATGTTAGTAGTATTAGTGATGAATAACTTGACTGAATCAGAGCATCTTGGCAAGCCTTTCTATTTTTTTATTTTTTTTATTTTGGTGAGCATGTTTCTATGGCAACCACTCACCTTTTAGATGGCCTTTATCAGTTTTATTTCTGCAGGGTATTATTCAATGACTGACAAATGTGGTCAAATTAGACGTTCACACAGTTTCTTTGGAATAATTTGAGCTTCATAAAAAGCCACTTTGTGTTATTTAATTTTTACTATTTAAGGGCATGTTTCTTTTTTTAACAATGCCATACAATTATTTTCATAAAAATATGTAATGTTCAGTGCATATTAATGTGTTTTTTACTTTTCCAGAAAAGAAGCCTGCTTAGTTTTTAGGTAACACCAGTCCAGTTAGTATTTCCTTTAAAATATTAAAATGTGGTTAAATATCAGTGAGACAAACACAAACTGCAGCAACTCTGGAGATGAGTTTATGTTCAGTCACAATGTTTTCTTGTGATGAGGCTGATGGTCTCAGATTCAGGTGTTGAGGGTGAGTCAGGTGCATATTGTGGACTGATCGCTCTCAGAGTGAACGCATTATCGAAAATTTGATTCTTTAATTTCCTAAAGGCCCTGTCAGATTTTTGTTGTTGACTCTGAAAATAAAAAAAGTCAAAATCTCATTTTTATTTCATGATTTTGTAGTGAACTTGACCTAAGGTCAAAACCCTTGACCTTAAGAACCTTGTGGGACAGAAACTCACTCCCACTAAACTTCATCTTTCCATCTTTAAAAATTCTTCTATCAAGTAGTAATCATTGACAGATATTTTTAGAAATGTCTGTGTAAAGTTTCAACCATCGCCGTATGGTTTTCTAATTGTACAGCTTGCTGATTAATTATGTTGTTATTTTTCAATTTGCCAAATTAATGTAAATGTTTGATGTTAAACTTTGATTCTGTAAATAAATGACCACATTCATTTTGATGGGTCAAAGATAAATAACGTCTCACGTTACATTTTATTAAATTCAATGCACGTTTTATTCAGTCCAGAAAAATGAGAGAATCCGTTTTAATTGATGAATATATCTCAGCATCTCTTCATCTACAATTTTCCTTCTAACGTTCTGTGTGACATATAGTAAAAATAGATAATGTATAGGAAAATAATGTGCTAAATCATTTCATGTGCTAGTTTTGTATTAAATTAAAAGTAGAAATGTTGAGACATAAAGCTCAGAAGCTCATTTGTCATTTATTGATAATACTTTACACTCTGTGTAGAAAGTATGTCAATTTTTCAGCTGATTAAACTGAAATATAAATAAATAAATAAATAAATAACCCTCTGATTATTCAAATTAACAACTTCTAAAACCTAAAGTAAGTTTTACAGGAAAGTTTGGGTCCTGTTTAAATAAAACTTGAAACATTGTGTCACAACAACTGAATACCCAGATGGAAAGGACTGAATATGAACAACTCAACACAGGGCGACAAGTTCCGTGCTTTTATTTACAGTGATGTAATCACAGGAAGTTATAGGAACCCTGGGGAGCAAGGAGAAGGGTCAGCACTGAGCTTCAACAGGAATATATTGATTGTATTGGTCTCTGGTTTTTACTGGTCAGTGAATGATGTTTGGATGATCGCTGGTTCCAATAATCCTGTGAGAGTAATGTTAATCCAGCTTGGGAAGTACAGTCAGTGGTGGACGAGTGGTTAGAGGGCGAGGAAGGCAGCTGAGGAGGTCACGAGGAGGTTTCCAGAATTACACAAGGTTCCAAGAACAGGAGGTTTACATTGGCAAGGCAATGCTCCAGCGTTGAAGAAGAGTCATCAACTGCATTTTATACACTGGGCATCTCATCTTGGATTGGTCTCCGTTGTGGTCATCTGGCGCCATCTAGTGACCTCAGCACGGAAGTGACTGGAACTCCCACACATTGAAGGTCAACTTACTTCTCTGTAACTTGTATTTGGCTGTTTTGACTTTTTTTCTTTCATTCTTTCTTTTTCTTTTCTTGCGTCTCATTTGAGCCCAGGTTTTAGCTCGTGCTTTCATTCCTTTTATTCAATGCATTTGTTTTGCAAATGACTTCTATTTGCTTTATCACAATACTTCTGACAGATGAAGTGATGCTGGGATCATGATATTTCCAGCAGCTAATCAATTACTAATCGACACGTGTCTCTAATCTTGTCTCTTAATATCTTGTTTGGATTAGAATGTTTAGATTAGGTTAGATGTCTTTTTGCATTTATGGTTCTGTTCCATATCTGCACTGTGTTGTATTGTTTTTGCACGTAATGTTCTGTGTTGCACCGTGATCCTGGAGCAACCCGGTTTCATTTCAATACTGTATGTACTTGTACTTAGCTAAAATGACAATAAAACCTCTCTGACTCTGACTCGCTGAGTTTTTTCTAATTTCTGCAGAGGACCCTTGAAGTTGTGTCATAGAGCCTCATGGGTTTTGGACCACTTCAAGCTAAAGTCTGATTTCTTGCTTACTTTCTTTCAGGCAGAGCTGGGTTCTACGCCTTTTCTTTATCAAATTTTGCATTTGTTCAAAGATTTTAGTACTCTGGAAAACTGACATCTGATTTTCATGACACTGCCCGGAAAAAAATGTTAAAAACTATCCCAGCTGAAATGAAAGAATGGTCACCAAGAAAGAAACCTGGGTTAGTTCACCAGACAGCAACAAAGTTTACAAATCCTAAAGACTATTTTCAAATAGAATCAAACTTATGAATATGCTTGGACGAGACATATTTTGGCAAAGTATTACTGTAAAATGAGCAAAAACATCTGCAGGCTCAAGACTGATGTCATAAATTGAGAGAAACTATAATCCAGATTAGCAGAGCGCTACAAGTCGTGGGATTAGTGGTGTAATGCACACTAATGTATCTTTTAGTGGAGTCCATCATCTCTCTGGCTATCACTTCCTTCATATAGAATCAATGGTTTTAGGCAGTGAATTGGAGCCAGCTAGCACCTCATATGAAACATTGAGGCAAAACATGTTTATCTGGATAATAAGTGCAACAACATTTATTGGAAATGCTTTAGAGGACTGGTTAACTTCTTTTTTTTTTTTTTTTTTGGATAATCCAAAGAAAAATCTTGAGTAGATTAGTTCCAGATAACATTTTGGCTTTGCAGTCACCATCTGTTAAGGACCAGAATCATATTGATGTGATTGTTTAATAAATAACTAAACTATAAAGGACCAAATCCAGTCCCAAAACTTTTAACACTTCCATCAGCCTGGATGAAGGTAAATTACCAAACTGTTTATGCTGGAAACTACCTGTATTATCACCACCTCAAATAAATTCACTAAAAATCCTGCTACACATCTAAAGTGTTAAATCTTCTATCACTTCTGACACGAGTTAAGCTTGCTGTCTTGTTACTCATGTGGAGAGTCAGATAATAATCACTTCTGGATGTTGATTCTGATGCTGAGTGGAGTTGCAGCTTCTTTTCAGTGTTTCGGGGAGTTTGCAGATTTGTGAAAAGACAAGTGCAAAGAAGTGAGCTGTCTGAGGAAGAATGGGGAGGATTTATTTAGCTGGAAATAGAGCAGCGAGGAAAGCGCCAGGAAAGAGGAAGTCTGTTTTTGTTGAATTATTGATAGAGCTCATCCTCTGTGTGGCCTCGTGCACTGTGCAGCATGCAGCAGAGAGGTGAGCTGTGACTCACACCTCCACCAAGATGCAGAATTTTCACTTGACCTTATGTCCACACAGCTAAGTTAGCACAAAGGCTGTTGTGTGGAACCACACTGGTTCCTTACACATTAATATCCATGACTTAAACCTGTTTTAACCAGATTTCCGTGCAAATACCAACAAAACAACTTGTAATCTTATATGGTTTTCACACATTATACCATAAAAATATTCCAAAGCACACATTCCTTGCGTGTTTTGTACATGTCCCATGCCTTTTTAACACGTTTCCTCATGTGACCACATGATTTTTCTGCGTGTGATTTTTTTTTTCTTTCTTTTTTGCTCTTGAAGGAACTGCACTGACCACATGGCATGAACCTCGAGGCCGGATCCAGCCCGAAAACCACCGCTTGATGACCATTGTCCTGCACACTGGAAACTTTGTATTGAATACAGTCAATATGATGCAGCTCCCAGCAAAGACAGAATGTGCGTGCGTGCGTGTGGGTTCTACATTGTTTCCAGTCTTTGGGCTGGGCTTTAGAGGCATGCATTAAAGTGCTATTGATTTTCTCACTTCTTATCCCACTCTCAAAAAAGCATATTTTGTTTCAAGTTTTAAAGGTTTAGCCTTTAAGTTAATAAAAAAACAACAACAACAACAACAAAAAACAAGTCTGAATCTTTTTGACCATAAAGTGTAATGAACATACTTGCATTAGTA